TGGTTAATCTTCAGGTTAGGTTAGGTTAATTAGGGTGAGTTAGGTTAGGCTAGGTTAAAGTTAGGGTGGTTAATCTTCAGGTTAGGTTAGGTTAATTAGGCTGAGTTAGGTTAGGTTAGGCTAGGTTAAAGTTAGGGTGGTTAATATTCAGGTTAAGTTAGGCTAGGTTAAAGTTAGGATGGTTAATCTTCAGGTTAAATAAGCTGGTGTATAAAACAACGATATTTGGTATACAGTATGTGTAAACGTCCGCCAGTTGACGTAATCTTTATCTTCAAATCACAATAACATTTTATTCCGCAGATAAACATTTACAAAAAAGTTAATTGGATTTTCTTCCTTATATATTTATTAAAAAGACTTACAGGTGGAATGAACACTTACTGGTCCGGGTAGATAAGTTTACACACACACACACACACACAAGAAGCAGCCGCCTTTGGTATTTACGAGAGAATAATATAATAATAAAAAATAAACATTAAACGATAATCTTTTGTATTTATGACAATGAAATGTCGGCGAATATTTTTATTAAAAATATCTTCCAGCGTCACCTGTCCTAGTCTAGTGAAAAGATCTCTGTCTCTCTCAACTATCTCTTATTTTTCTCTCTTATTCTCTCTCTCTCTCTCTCTCTCTCTCTCTCTCTCAATCTTTTTTTTTACAATTATTTCCTTCTGTCTTTCTCAATTACTTTTTTATTCTCTCCCTCATATATTTATCTCTATATCTCTTTTCTCTCAATTAGTTTTTTCTACTCTTCTTGAACTCTCTATCTCACTCTCTCAATAATTTTATTTCTTCTCTCCCTCAACTATTTATTTGTATCTCTCTCTCAATTATCTTTTTTTACTCTCAACTTGATCTCACTTCCTCTCCCTTAACTATTTTTATCTCTATTTTTTGGGGGTTACTCTCCCTCAACTCTCTATCTCACTCATTTAGTTGCTTTGAGAGATTGAGCCTACAAAAAAAATACGTCTTGCTTAGTAGAACATAATATTTATCTAGTAGTCACCTTGTCCTTCCCTCCCTGCTGGTAATATACACACGGTACAGTCATATGTATTGGGAAATTATTAACGAGAGCGAAAGTATCTGGAAAATTCTTAATTGTGGAAAAAAGTTGCAAATTAAAGGTAAAAGGATATGAATATTTAGGATGAAAAATATTTATTATTGTTAGTAGTAGTAGTAGTGGGCCAGCGCGGCGTGGGTGTGGTGGAGTATCCTATCTGATCTAAAGTGTTATTTGGAGGGGACATATTCGGAGTGTAGGAGCGGGAATTTCACAGTGTGTCGGTGAGTATCGGATGTCACCCTAAGCATTGTCACCGAAGGTTCTTCTCATCCCTTAAGGTATTAATCGCAAATATTCCGTGTGTTCACCGGCGATCACCAAGCAAGTTTGTGAATATTTAGGTGGACGGCTACTACAGGTGCCAGGTGCCAGTGCCAGTGTCGATAGGCCTACTTTGGCAGGGGTGGCATCGAGACTCTCGCCCTTATGGGGCCAAGTGCTCTACGCTCTTCAAATACTGGCAATAATATCACATCTATTCTATCAGAGGACACACACAAAGAAAATGCGGCAGTAATGAAGAGAAGATTGACAATGTGGCAGAATGGGCCCTTGATGATCTCCTATGTGAAGCAAGAACACTGCAGGAGAGACTAAAATTTATGGAAGACGGAAAGCAAAACACTGATGACGTTGCAAGAAAGTTTAGAAACAAAATGCGTGTGGGAAAAGTGTCTTTGGCGGTAAGATCTCTCACAGAGGAATTCTCCGGTGAGGTTCTGCCAATAAACAGAGAGACATTAAAACAACTAAAAGAAAAACATCCCCCTGCAAGTAAAGACGAAGGCATCAGGTTCCAGGGTGACTATATCCCACCAAATGCTGTCCTGTTCAAGAAAATAACAGGAGGGATGGTGTGGAAAAGGGCACTGAAGACTCAGGGAGGTGCCGGCCCTTCAGGTCTGGATGCAAACGGTTGGAGAGTCATCCTCAGCACTAACAAGTCTGGTCCCGTAGCAAGTGATCTCTGCACTGCCATTGCCGTCCTTGCAAGAAAGCTGGCATCCTCGTACTGCCAACACCTCCATGCTCTGACGGCCTGCCGCCTCATTCCCCTGGATAAAATCCAGGATGTAGGCCTATAGGGGTGGGGGAAGTGCTGAAGCGGATAATCGGAAAATGCATAATGGAGGTGGTAAAGGATGATGTCAGGGCAGCAGCAGGGAACCTGCAAGTTTGTGCTGGCCACCAGGCTGGAGGGGAAGCTGCCATTCACGCCATGAGAACGATATTTTAGCAGCGCGATTGTGAGGCTGTTCTCCTGGTGGACGCTTCAAACGCATTTAACATACTTAACCGTAAGGCTGCACTGCACAACATCAAGATCAAGAGTCCAAGCTTTGCAATGTATGTTGAAAACTCCTATAGGAATCCACCAGACCTTTATATAGGAATCCATCAGACCTTTATATAGTAAACAACAAGGCTCTAAGAGGTGATACCATCATACAGTCAACCGAGGGAACAACGCAGGGGGACCCTGTTGCAATGGCAACGTATGCAATAGGCCTATCCGTGTTCCAAAACACAATAAATTTTGAAACAACTGAGATCAAGCAAGTGGCATACGCTGATGACCTTACAGGAGCAGGAAAAGTGGAGGACATCAAAAAGTGGTGGAACCTGGTAACATCACGAGGCTCAAAAATAGGGTACCACCCAAACGCCAGCAAGTCCTTCCTCATTGTGAAGCCAGAACATTATGAACGGGCAATGGAGGTGTACGGTGCAAGTGAGGTCAAAATAACAAAGGATGGCCAAAGACACCTAGGCGCAGTAATCGGCAAGACGGACTTCAAGACCGAGTACGTAACAGGAAAGGTGAATGAGTGGGTTAGGGAAATCCAAGCTCTGTCTGAGATTGCTAACACTGAGCTACATGCAGCTTTTGCGGCATTCACCCATGGATTCGAGCATCGCTGGAACTACCTGATGCGCACTGTCCCTGATATCGGACCACTCCTTCACCCTCTGGAAGAAGCTATCAGCGTCAATTTCATTCCAAAGTTAGTGAAACACCCTCATTTAACCCCAGCAGAAAAATCACTCTTTGCACTACCACCGAGACTGGGAGGAATGGGATTGACAAATCCACAGGAGATTGCTGCCACCGAACATCAAAACTCAGTTAAGCTCATGGCAGCTCACGGACCACATAATAGCTCAGAACGCAACAGGGGAGGTGGATACCAGTGAAGTAAACAAGATTCGAAGGTCCATTACGACAGAACGACAGCACCGTCAAAGTGATGAGTTGCAGCAACTGTTGCTGCAGGTACTAGAGAATTTGAAGAAAAAAATAGCTATAGCGCAGGAGGTGGGCGCCGCGAACTGGTTAACTACGTTACCGATAAGGGCAAATGGTTTCAGTCTCAATAAACAAGAATTTCCAGATGCCAATGCTCTAAGGTACGAGGCCAGTAGAAGGTTTGCCCTCCCAATGCATGTGTGGCTCTTCATATGACTTCGATCACGCCATGGTGTGCAAGAAAGGGGGCTTCATATGCATGAGGCATGACGAAGTAAGGGATCTCACAGCAAATACGTTGAAGGAAATCTGCCGGGATGTCAGGGTAGAACCGACCCTCCTTCCATTGGACGGTGAGAATTTCCAACATAGGACTTCAAACACATCCAACGAAGCCCGTGTTGACATCAGTGCTTGAGGATTCTGGACGCTGGGACAGCGAGCCTTCTTCGACATCAGGATTTTTTATCCCGTGGCCGCATGTCGCCATAACTTAGCTCTCGATGCTGCACACAGGAGGAACGAGAACGACAAGATAAGGACATACGGGGAGAGAATTCTGAACGTTGATCAAGGCAGCTTCACTCCTCTAGTGTTCACAGTCTTTGGTGGGATGGGACCAAGTGCAAGATGCTTCTACGCCAGACTCGCGGAGGTGCTATCCGAACAGAAGCAGCAACCCAGAAGTTATATTACAGCCTGGATGAGATGTCGACTGTCCTTCTCTCTTCCGAGGTCGGCTTTGCTCTGCCTCAGGGGAATGAGAGCATCGGCCCCAAACCGACAACAGTTGCAGATATTGACTTTGAGGCAACAGTCACTGAATGTCGCATAGATCTGCGGCTCAACTAACTCAACACAGCTAGGACAGCTACTTATGTATTAGGATATTTTATATTTAATTTTAAGGTAATAAAATGGAGGCGAAGGTGTAGCTATAGGGGGGGGGGATGGAGGCCATATTTAAAATGGTAGTAGTTGCGATAGTAGTAGTAGTATCATTATTATTATCATCATCATCATCATCATCATCATCATCATCATATTATTATTATTATTATTATTGTTATTATTATTATTATCATTATTATTATTATTATTATTATTATCAATATTACTAGTATTATCTTTCTTACTAAGATTAACGGGTGATATTATTATTATTATTATTATTATTATTATTATTATTATTATTATTATTAATATCATCATCGTATCATCATTGTTATTTTTATATTATAACTCTTCTTTCTATTACTTTTCCTTACTTTTTATTTTTGTCATACTTATTATTATTTCCTAGAGAGAGAGAGAGAGATTGATTTCATGGCGTTTGGTCCACTTGATTTGAAACTTGCAAGACTAACATTCACATTGTGATTGTGACATTTTGTAAGAGTTTAATTGAGGTCAAAGGTCATATATGTGGGACTGAAGAGTGAAGATGTGTTTTAGGTTATTATTATTATTAGTTGTAGTAGTAGTAGTAGTAGTAGTATATAATAGTTATAGTGAGTGAACATAAGACATAAAGCTAATAAGTACATAAGTAAACACGAGAACAGAACACCTATCCTAAGAAAAATAATTTGTTTACTGTATGCTATAATGGTCCTCTCCCTCCCCCCTCCCTCCCCCTCACTCCCTCCCTCCCTCCCCTCTCTCTAAAACCCAATATACATTCCAGAGGCTAAAACTTGTCCCCCTCTCTCTTCTCTTCCCTCTCCGTGGACAGAATATGGCGTGGGTTTGGACGGGGAGAAGAACAAGCGTCGTCAACACTGTACGTACTGCACTAACCATGGCCGTCACTCCCGCAAGACCAACCACAAATGCCAGTTTGAGAATTGTGACTGTTTATTGTGTAAGCTCACAAGACTCAGCCGACTCATCATGCGGCACCAGCAGCGTCTGTGGCGACACCTGAAGGATGCCAGACGAAGGGAGGACGCTGCTGAAGGAGGAGGAGGAGGAGGAGGCGGAGGAGGAATGGTAGGAGGTGCAGTTGAAGGTGTAGGAGGAGGTATGAACGCCGAAGTTATGGTTACTGGAGCTGCTAATGCTACTGGCGATGCTTCTAGTGGGGCAAACATGGCTGCTTCCAGTAAACAACAGGTTGGTACTCCATATATACTGGGTGTCTGGTACTACTGGGTACTAACTAGGTGGGCAAGATAGGTACTGATTGGGGTGGGTAAGGTGGTGCTAGGTTGAATTGGTGGGTGGGTGGGGTTGGGTGGGTGGTGGAGTGCTGGGGTGGGTAAGATAGGTGCTGGGGTGGTGGGTGGGTGCTGGGGTGGATAAGATAGGTGCTGGGGTGGGTGGATAAGTACGGGAAGGTTGGGGATGAGCAGGTGGTTGGGGGGGTGGGGAGGTGGAAATGAGAGAGTGGGGAGGAATGGATGGGAGGAGGAGGAGGAGGAGGAGGTAGAGGAGGAGAAAAGCTAACAATTGTCCTCACACTGGTCTACAACACACACACACACACACACAATCACCGTCACTCACAGACAATCCCCGCCCCACACACACACACACACACACACAATCTGCCACTCACTCACTCAGGAACACACTCTCTTTCACCACCAGAAGTGCGACATGTGCAGGAACCACGGCGTGATGAAGGAGAAGAGAGCGCACAAGAACGCCTGTCCTTACACTAATTGCAACTGTGACCTGTGCGGCCTAACCAAGAAGCGCAGAGACATCATGAGACTCCAGCAGCGAGTTCGGAGGTAAGCCAGCCCACTCAGGAGGTCAGATCCACATTCAGGAGGTAAGATTCCCACTAAGGAGGTCAGATTCCCATTCAGGAGGTCAGATTCCCATTCAGGAGGTCAGATCCCCACTCAGGAGATCAGATCCCCATTCAGGAGGTCAGATCCCCATTCAGGAGGTCAGATTCCCATTTAGGAGGTCAGATTCCACTCGGGATGAAAGCCAGTTCATTCGGGATAAGTTGCCCATTCTGGAGGTAAGCCAGCCTACTCAGGAGGTCAGATCCCCACTCAGGAGGTCAGATCCCCAGT